CAAGTAGCTGGGATTACAGGCTCATACCACCAGGCCTGGCTAATTTTTTGATTTATTATAGAGATGAAGTCTCTCCAAGTTGCCCAGACTGGTCTCAAACCAGTGGGCTCAGGCAATCCTCTCACCTCGGCCTCCCAAAGTGCTGGGATTATAGGCGTGAGCCAACGCTCCCAGCCCTTTGTACCCTTTAACAAACACCTCCTCAATTTCCCCTCCCCTCAGTCCCTGGAAACTACCATTCTACTCTCTACTTCTATGAGTTTGACTATTCAGGATCATGCGGCATTTGATCTTCTATGTCTGGCTTATTTCACTTAGTGTAACAGGAGTTTTTGTTTAATTGGTTGGTTGCTTTTGTTTTTGTTTGCCTTCCAAAGTGAGAGATTTTAAAGGCCACTTTGATTTTACAGTAGAGAAGGGAGCTTGCATATGCATCAGTAACATAGAAATAAAATATACCCAAGTACTTGGATGGGGATACCTTAACTCCCATTTCTTGTGACTAACACAGCAGCACCATCCATTGGTCAGAAATCCCTTATAGAGGCAGCTGGAAAACAAGCAATCTTTCTGTCTTCCATCTTTGCCTCCCTTTCTTTCTGCCAGCAAGACACATATTGAGTTTCTAATTGTTACAAGTATGAGGACTCACTCTCCCTTGAAATAGGATCCTAGAGCAATTTAAATTATGATATAGATCAGCTGTGTGGTAGAAGATTTTAGTGGATTATATAGACACATAATGTATCCCACACTATGGAAAAATGTCCCTTAAAATTGGACTTTAAGAGAAGGTCTTTCAGGCTGGGCACAGAGGCTCATTCCTATAATCCCAGCACTTTGAGAGGCCGAGGTGAGAGGATTGTCTGAACCCACAATTTCGAGACTAGCCTGGGCAATTTGACAAGACCTTATCTCTACAATAAATCAAAAAATTAGCAATGGTTGTGGTGGCATGCGCCTGTGATTCCAGCTACTTGGAAGGCTGAGACAGAAGGATTGCCTAAGCCCAGCAGGTCGAGGCTGCGGTGGCTGTGAGTGTGCCACTATACTCCAGCCTGGGCAACAGAGTGAGGCTCCAACTCAAAAAAGAAAGACTTTTGCCAGGCACAGTGGCTCAAATCTGTAACCCCAGCACTTTGGGAGGTCAAGGCAAGAGTATTGCCTGAGCCCAGGGGTTCAAGACCAGCCTGGGCAACTTGGCAAAACCTCATCTCTACAATAAATCAAAAAATTAGCCAGGTGTGGTAGTGCACACCTTGTGGTTCCAGCTACTTTGAAGGCTGAGGCGGAAGGATTGCCAGAGCTCAGCAGGTTGAGGCTGCAGTGGCTGTGAGACAGAATGAGTCTGGGTGACAGAATGAGACTCCAACTTAAAAAAAAAAAAAAGAGGAGAACTTTCACAAAGATTTTATAATCCAAAATTATAATTATTTCTCAAGCCCCCACCAATTTTTTTTTCCTCTCAGCCCAAAATGTGACCACCCATATGTACACAACAAAAAGCAAGTAGGGAAAGCAGGCCAAGGGAGCCTTGTGGGGAGCAAGAGCTTGCTACTACGTCCTTTACTTGTCCTGAGAGGTTTAGAATCCTCTTACTCAAAGGCCTTGCCTTATCTTTGATGGAGGCCTTTGGCCCCAATAGGGCTCCACAAGTCCCCAAGACCAAGCTTTTAAAAATATTCCAATTAGTCCTGGCTCATGCCTGTGATCCCAGAACTTCAGGAGACCAAGGAGGGAGGATTGCTTGAGTCCAGGAGTTTGAGACCAGCCTAGGCAATACAGCAAGACCACATGTCTACAAAAAATCCAAAAATTAGTCAAGCATGGTGGTGCATGCCTATAGTTCTAGCTACTCGGAAGGCTGAGGTGGGAGAGTCTCCTGAGCCCAGGAGGTCAAGTCTGCTGTGATCCATGATCTGTGCCGTTGTATTCCAGCCTGGGCAACAGAGTGAGACCCTAACTCAAAAACACAAAAATAAACAAACTAAAACTTCAAATTAGACATTATATAAGGGGACATGTACATTATTCATCTTTCTTTGTCCAAAGCTGGGGTCGAGGGCAGTAACTGACCCTAAAAAAAGCCTATCTCCAGGCCCTAATAAAGAGTCCAAGCACAGCTGGAAATGAAAGAAACAAATTAAGCCATTGTACAGACAGCTGGTCATTCAAAGCCATTCTGCTTTAGCTGTCAGCAAGTTGTCCGACTCCTCAGGCCCCCTTATAATTAACACCAGGCTCCATACAATTAACCACTGGACCATGTGCTAGGAACTGAGTCAATCTTCACAGTAGGAGATAGGGAGATTAGTCATAGAGGGACCTGGACTTCACAGAGCCCAGGACCAAGGTGGAGGTAAAGGCATGATCCAAAGGCTGCGGTCTTGGGGAAGAGTAGAGTCTGTATCTTAGGCAAAAACAGGCAAAGGACCATGGGCTGAATGAGGCTGCAGAAGATAGTTTTTTGTTTTGAGTTGGAGTCTCACTCTGTCGCTCAGACTGGAGTGCAGGGGTATGTATGCTCTTGGCCACCGCAGCTTCAACCCGTTGGGCTCAGGTGATCTTTCTGCCTCAGCTTTCCAAGTAGCTGGAACTACAGGCACGCACCATCATGTCCAGGTAATTTTTTGATTTATTGTAGAGTTGAGGTCTCGCCAAGTTGCCTAGGCTGTTCTCAAACCCCTGGGCTCAGGCAATCCTCTCACCTCGGCTTCCCAAAGTGCTGAGATTATAGGCATGAGCCACTGTGCCCGGCCTAGAAAATAAGATTTGGACCAAGAAGGCTGGCTAGAAGAAGGAAAATTAAGAACATGGTAGGAAGAATAAGACTTACTTGAGAGAGAGAGGATTTATGCAACATTTACTGAGCCCTTACTTTATGCCAACCACCATGCCATGCTCTAAGGGCCTAGGCTCCTTGAGCACGGATGCTTAAGTGGCAATTCATACCAAGCAGAGATGAGAAATTCATTGCAGCCACCTTTATCAGGGCTTATGGTTAGATTTGATACTGATTTGATAATTTCCTCCCTCTTTTAAAGGCCTGGTGTTTTCTGCAATTCTTAAGTCGCTTGAAAGTTATCTCTCCCCGACGCTCTTCCGAGTCATCCGCCTGGCCCGAATCGGCCGCATCCTCAGACTGATCCGAGCGGCCAAGGGGATCCGCACACTGCTCTTTGCCCTCATGATGTCCCTGCCCGCCCTCTTCAATATCGGGCTGTTGCTCTTCCTCGTCATGTTCATCTACTCCATCTTCGGCATGTCCAGCTTTCCCAATGTGAGGCGAGAGGCTGGCATTGATGACATGTTCAACTTCCAGACCTTCGCCAACAGCATGCTGTGCCTCTTCCAGATCACCACTTCAGCTGGCTGGGATGGCCTCCTCAGCCCCATCCTCAACACAGGCCCCCCCTACTGCGACCCCAATCTGCCCAGCAGCAGTGGCTCCCGGGGGAACTGCGGGAGCCCAGCTGTGGGCATCATCTTTTTCACCACCTATATCATCATCTCCTTCCTCATCGTGGTCAACATGTACATTGCAGTGATTCTGGAGAATTTCAATGTGGCCACAGAGGAGAGCACCGAGCCCTTGAATGAGGATGACTTTGACATGTTCTACGAGAATTGGGAGAAGTTCGACCCAGAAGCAACTCAGTTTATTACCTTCTCTGCCCTCTCAGACTTTGCAGACACTCTCTCTGGTCCCTTGCGAATCCCAAAACCCAATCGGAATATATTGATGCAGATGGACCTGCCTTTGGTGCCTGGAGATAAGATCCACTGCTTGGACATCCTTTTTGCCTTTACTAAGAAAGTGCTGGGAGAATCTGGGGAGTTGGATTCTCTGAAGGCAAATATGGAGGAGAAGTTTATGGCAACAAATCTTTCAAAATCATCCTATGAACCAATAGCCACCACCCTCCGGTGGAAGCAAGAAGACATCTCAGCTACTGTCATTCAAAAGGCCTATCGGAGCTATGTGCTGCACCGCTCTCTGACACTCTCCAACCACCGAGGTGTGCCCAGGATTGAGGAGGAGGCTGCATCACTCCCAGATGAAGAATTTGTTGCAATCATGGAAAATGAAAATTATGTACTCCCAGATAAATCTGAAACTGTTTCTGCCATCTCTTTCCCACCATCCTATGAGAGTGTCACTAGAGGCCTCAGTGACAGAGGGAACATGAGTACATCTAGCTCAATGCAAAATGAAGATGAAGCCACTAGTAAGGAGGTGACTGCCCCTGGACCCTAGTGAGGATACTCCAGCCTGGACATAACCTGTTCTGATGTGTCTTTCTGCTCTGTGATAACTCCATCCCCCTACAGATAGCTACAACCTCACCAATGCATGCCACTGGTAACAATGTCAGAACTGGGCAGGGAATGCAGCTGGTAACTCACCTTTGAAAAAACTCCCATACACCAAAAAGAGTCAGGAGCCAAGGGCACCTCCACTGTGACTTTCCTTCTGAATTTCAATGTCAGATGATAAGTTCTCTTAATTTCCAGAAAATGTCTGTGGTCCTTTTATTTTGGTTATGATCAGAGATTATATTTCCTGAGGCAAACCTCTCAGGACCAGAACTTACAAAGATATTTGGCAAGGATGTTACTGAAGGCCCAGGGTAGTCCTCTGTGTAGCACCATCTAGAGACTGGCAATGTTATTTAGGATTTTGCATGACTGCATGTTGAGAGCTGCTGGGCAACTTCTCTGGCCCAGGGTGACACCTGTGGTCTATGTCATGAAAGGCCTTTGAGACATCCATTAAAAGTAATATTTTTAAAGGTATATCAAGACCAATGTTATATTTTAAAGCCTTATTTCATTTTTTTCTTAATCATGTGATACATGTATCACGAGTCCCTTCTCCCTCATGTTCAGGGATCCTGATATTTTACCATTTGAGACTGAGGCTCTGCGGAGCCAAAAGGAGCACTGTCTTGGGAGCTAGAGAAGCTGGTTCGAATCCTAACTCTTCCACTGACTGCCTCTCTGACTGGGCCTGAGATCTTTCCCCTATCAACCTTGGTTCCCACACTTGTAAAATGGGTGGGAGGAGGGAGATAGAATATATGTTTTCTATAGCCTTTGCATCTCATCTTGTGGAACTCAACAGTGCCTTGCCTATTTAGTTGGGAAATACACTCTCTTCTGAGGCTGAAATGTCTGGACCTTTCTGCTAGATAGCTAAGGGGGCAGCTTTTGGATACATTTCAGAGCCTGTTTCACATCTCATACTCAGGCTTGAAAGAAGAGGGTTTTTACATTCTCCTGGGGCCGGGACTCCATAATTCATATAATCAAAAGAAAGGGGACATTTTGAGAAAGATGAACTGGTAGATTAAAGACAGGACCAGTGGTTTATTTCATTCATCCTACAAATGTTATTAAATATCTATTTTATGATGGGAACTGCTCCAAGAACAAGAGATAAAATAGGAATCCAGCCCCAAAAGATGAATTGAATTTATGTAGTGAATGAATTATGGGTTGTCAGAGGAGTTTATTCAGGCCAAAGGCACATGAGATGAAGGAATGCAAACAGTTTACATGACAACATAGGACATAACCAATTATAATGACATCTGTGCTCCTTTATTAACTCTTGAGACATTCCCAGCCACAATTACAGAGATCAGGCCAATTCATTGGATGGATACTTGATCATTTCATAAGATTTTCTGTTTGAACAATTGCGTAGCACAGAGGCTGATTCACCTTACATGCCTTGTGGATACAGATTTTCTGGGGCTTTGCTTTCCCTTCTCTGTCACTGCTGGCCCAAAAGAGGGCAAAAAGGCTTTCCCAATGCTTGTTGGGGTTGACAGCACCCACAGATGCAGGTTAATAACGTAATGATTAAATGGCAAAGGGCACACTCTGTCTCAGCACAAATCACATATTCTCTGGATACTAATGCATATCAAAAGAAGAGTTCAAGAAATGGCTCTTCTTCCCTAGTGTGACTGATCTGGGGAGCACAGATGTTGACTGTGTAGCTTCTTTGACATCTGAATCCCCTGAAGTCAATGAAAAAGTCATCTGATATGATACTAGCCTGAGTTTTTATGAGAGCTTGGGCACTGGTTTATTTTTTAAATGTCATGTGGAAGAATTAAATGTACCCAACCATCAGACTAATTTGATTAAGTTGATGATATTATTCTCAAAAGTATTCTAATTGCATCTTTTGCCCCACGTTGTGGGTTTAACTGTGTCCCCTAAAAAGATACATTGAAGTCCTAACCTGTGAATGTGACCTTATTTGAAATAAGTCTTCACAAATATAATCAAGCTAAGGTGAGGGTGGTCCCCAATCCAATGACTGGTTTTATTGTAATATGAGGGACATTTGGAGAGAAGAGAATGCCATATGAAGACAAACACACACACACACACACACACAGAGAGAGAGAGAGAGAGAGAGAGAGAGAGAGAGAGAGAGAGAGAGACAGCTTGTGAAAACAGGAAAAAATTGGAGGGAGGCATCTGCTAACCAAGGAAGGCAAGAATTGTCCTGTGGAGGCTTTAGAGAGAATATAGCCCTGCTAGCACCTGGATTTTAGATTTGTGGCCTCCAGAAATATAAGAGAATAAACTTCCGTTATTGTAACACACCCAGTTTGTGATAATTTGTTACAGCAGTCCTAGGAAACTAATACATTCCACATTTTCTACACACAGGTATATTTCCCAAATTGTAATGGGAGCCATTAGAAAAGGGATGCAATATATACGTCTTATATTACACAAAAGTTTTCAGAAATGTATCCAATTCAAATTGAAAATTAACTCCTTAAAATGTCATAGATCACCCTGAGTTGTACTCCACATCTTTAAAATAAAAAATAAAACCCGGGCTCGGTGGCTCAGCCTGAGGCTGAGGTAAATGGATTGCCTGAGCCCGCGGGTATGAAACCTGTCTGGGCAACTTGGCGAGACCTCATCTCTACAATAAAATCAAAAAATCAGCCGGGCTACCTGTAATTCCAGCTATTCGGAAGGCTGAGGCGGAAGGATTGCCGAAGCCCAGCAGGTCGAGGCTACAGTGGCCGGGAGTAGCCACTGCACTCCAGTCTGGGTGACAGAATGAGACTCCAACTCAAAAATAAATAAATAAAAATAATAAAAAATAAAATAAAATAAAAATGTCATAGATCCAATTTCAAAGTTCACCCGGTAGCCCAATTACAAGGTAGGAAATCGATTTCTAGTGGAGCAAACCTCAGAGGTCCAGGGCAGATGGAGAGCCAGAGCTACCTTCTCAATCTCACCCATAGGAGATGGCACTGGGATCTCTCTGGCTCAGAACATGTGAGGAAACCTTAACACTGAAGGGAGATAAGAGACAGGACAGCCAGGCATGGTGGCTCCTGCCTATACTTCCAGTACTCTGGGAAGTGGAAGCGAGAGGATTGCCTGAGCTCAGGGACTCGAAACTAGCCTGAGCAACTTGGCAAAACCTCATCTCTACAATAAATAAATAAATAATTAGTGGGCATGGCGGCCAGTGCCTGTAGTTCCAGCTACTTGGAAGGCTGAGGTGGAAGGTTCGCCCGAGTTCAGCAGGTTGAGGCTGCAGTGGCCGTGAGCATGTCACTGCACTCCAGTCTGGTTGACAGAGTGAGATTCCAACTCAAAAAATAAACAAACAAAAGAGGACAATAGTACTGATTGTATGAATATCTGGAATCTGCAGGTTCTCAAAAATATGCCCCACCATAAACACTGCCCTAACTTTTTATACCATTAAACTTCATAACACAGAGACATGGATGGTAAAGAACATTCAGGAACATCCATCCAGTCAAGCAATTGCAAAATACGTATTCAAGTATGTAGGGAATATTTACAAAAATAGTCCATATACCAGGCCATATAATAAGATCCAAAAGTTTTTCAAGGGATTAAAAGCATTTAGTAAGGCTGGGCACAGTGGCTCATGCCTGTAATCTCCACACTTTGAGAGGCTGAGGGGAGAGGACTGCTTGAGCCCAAGAGGTTGAGACCAGTCTGGGCATGTAGCAAGACTTCATCTCTACAAAAAGTCAAAAAAAATTGGCCAGGTGTGGTGACAAGCGCCTGTAGTCCCAGCTACTTGGGAGGCTCAGGTGGAAGGATTACCTGAGCCCAGGAAGTCAAGATTGCGATGAGCCATGATTGTGCCATTGCACTCCAGCTTGAGAATTAGTAAGAACCTTGACAAAAAAAGAAAACGAAAAAAGCATTTAGTGCATGTTTTCAGACCACAGTACAATTTAGTTGAGAATAAATAACAAAAGGAAACAGACCCAAGCATATTTGGACACTTAGTACATAGCAAAGATGGACTAGCATGGTAGCAATGAGGAAAAGATAGTCTTTTTTTCCTAAAAGGAAAAGAAAGTCTTCTTACAAATGGTGCTGGGAAAATTGTGTTTTCATAAGAAAAAAAAAAAAATTAGACTCCACCTAAAACCGCACTCAAAAATCAATTTCAGATGTACCTAAATGTAAAAGGCAAATCTTATAAAACTTTTAGAAGTAATAAAGAAAAATATCTACATGACCACAGAATTTTAAAAAGACTGATAAGTTTGACTGGATTAAAATCTAGACCATCAGTTTATTAAAATATACCATTAAGAATGAAAAAGCAAACTATAGCATCTGGAAGAAAATATTCAAAACATATATTCAATAAAAGTCTAATATTCAAAGATTTTTATTAATTCAAAATCAATACAAAATAGCACAATAGAAAAAGTGGCAAGAGACTTGAAGAGGCACTTCAAAAAAGAGGAAATCTGAATAAGCAATAAGCACATAAAAGAGTGCACAACCTAATTAGTAATCAGAGAAATGCAAGTTAAAACCACAGTGAAATACCACCACATATCTATTGGATCTGCAAAAATGTTAGTGTCTAACAAATATCGAGTGATGGTAAAGAGGGAGAACAACAGAAACTCTCATTTAAGACTGTGTAAATTAAGACAGTGTAAATTGGCACAACTACAGTCATGTGTCGCTTAATAACAGGGATACCTTCTGAGAAATGCAGCATATGTTAGGCAATTTCTTTTCTTTTCTTTTTTTTTTTGAGTTGGAGTCTCACTCTGCTGCCCAGGCTGGAGGGCAGTGGCACTCTCACATTCACCGCAGCCTCAACCTGCTAGGCTTAGGCAATCCTGCCTCAGCCTTCCATGTAACTGGAACTACAGGCACATGCCACCATGCCTGGCTAATTGTTTGATTTATTGTAGAGAT